CACCATACCTACTGTGAAGCATGGGGGTGGAAACATCATGCTTTGGGGCTGTTTTTCTGCAAAGGGACCTGGACGACTGATCCGTGTAAAGGAAAGAATGAATGGGGCCATGTATCGTGAGATTTTGAGTGAAAACCTCCTTCCATCAGCAAGGGCATTGAAGATGAAACGTGGCTGGGTCTTTCAGCATGACAATGATCCCAAACACACCGCCCGGGCAACGAAGGAGTGGCTTCGTAAGAAGCATTTCAAGGTCCTGGAGTGGCCTAGCCAGTCTCCAGATCTCAACCCCATAGAAAATCTTTGGAGGGAGTTGAAAGTCTGTGTTGCCCAGCGACAGCCCCAAAACATCACTGCTCTAGAGGAGATCTGCATGGAGGAATGGGCCAAAATACCAGCAACAGTGTGTGAAAACCTTGTGAAGACTTACAGAAAACGTTTGACCTGTGTCATTGCCAACAAAGGGTATATAACAAAGTATTGAGAAACTTTTGTTATTGACCAAATACTTATTTTCCACCATAATTTGCAAATAAATTCATAAAAAATCCTACAATGTGATTTTCTGGATTTTCTTTTCTCATTTTGTCTGTCATAGTTGACGTGTACCTATGATGAAAATTACAGGCCTCTCTCATCTTTTTAAGTGGGAGAACTTGCACAATTGGTGGCTGACTAAATACTTTTTTCCCCACTGTATATATATATATATATATATATATATATATATATATATATATATATATATATATACACACACACACTATGGGTCAAAAGTTTTAGAACACCTACTCATTCAAGGCTTTTTCTTTATTTTTACTATTTTTTACATTGTAGAATAATAATGAAGACATCAAAACTATGAAATAATACATATGGAATCATGTAGTAACCAAAAAAGTGTTAAACAAATCAAAATATATTTTATATTTGAGATTGTTCAAATAGCCACCCTTTGCTTGATGACAGCTTTGCACACTCTTGGTGTTATGGTCAGATGAGAAATAGAGCCATTTGCCATGCAAATCAGCGGTGAGTTTGGCGTCGAAAGAAGGATGCATGTGCAGAAAAGCACCTCATACCTACTGCAAAATATGGTGGTGGATCTTTGATGTTATGTGTCTGTTTTGCTTCCACTGATCCTTGGGCCCTTACTAAGGTCAACAGCATCATGAACTCTACCAAGTACCAGGACATTTTAGCTCAAAACCTGGTTGCCTCTTCCAGGAGGCTGAAACTTGGCTGCAAGTGGATCTTCCAGCAAGACAATGACCCCAACCACACGTCAAAATCCACAAAGAAATGGTTAATTGGCAACAATTAACTTGAACCCCATTGAAAACCTGTGGTTTGAATTGAAGAGGGCAGTCCATAAGCGCAGACCAAAGGATATCAAGGTTCTGGAAAGGTTCTGTATGGAGGAATGGTCGAAGATCCCTCCCAATGTGTTCTCCAATCTCATTAAACATGATAGAAAAAGACTCAGTGCCATTATCCTTCAAGAGGAGGGTGCACAAAGTATTGAAAACAGGGGTAATTTTGACCCCCATCTTTTTAAGAATTATTTTAAAAAACGTTTTAAATAAAATGTATTTCTCTGAGCAGTTGTATTAGTGTAAAATAATACAATTTCCCATTTGTTTGAGCATACAATATAGCTCAGTGTTTATATTATTTGTGTTATACAGTCTTTTTTGCTCATCTTTATCAATCATTTTGGAGCTACTCTCCTGAGTGGCGCAGTGGTCTAAGGCACTGCACTAGAGATCCTGGTTCGAATCCAGGCTCTGTCGCAGCCGGCCGTGACCGGGAGACTCATGGGCGGCGCACAATTGGCCCAGCGTCGTCCAGGGTAGGGGAGGGAATGGCCGGCAGGGATGTAGCTCAGTTGATAGAGCATGGCGTTTGCAACGCCAGGGTTGTGGGTTCAATTCCCACGGGGGGCCAGTATAAAAAAATATGTATTCACTAACTGTAAGTCGCTCTGGATAAGAGCGTCTGCTAAATGACTAAAAATGTAAATGTAAAAAAAAAAATGAGGTGGCTGTAGCTAAGAATCTACAATCAAACTCTGTTTGCTACTATGGTATCATCATCATGCTGATATTTATAGCTTGTGAAGTTATCAGCATTTTCCTGTCAACCATTTCCTGAATAATTTAGAAAGGGCAGCTCTTTATGTCATTAATAATTGTGGCTGTGACATTTACAGTACCCACTAGGCTACCAAACGAAAACACTCAGATCCCCAAGGCACATTTCATAAATGCTAATTACTGTCATTAGACTCTTCACGTCAGTTTAAAGTTTAAGTAGCAAGTGTAAAAGAGATATGAATTGCATGACACTTTGGGTCAACAAGGCCGGCCTTTCCTCTTGACAACCCAAATAACTTCTGAGATTGGCATTTTGGTGAAATGCCATTTCGGAAGGAAAGAATATCTGCCAAACTGTGTCAGTTATTATTTTTGTGACAGGAGCCTAATGTGCTAATCAGTTGAACCATAAAATGTACAGCCTGGGCAGAGGCGCCTGAGTGGTTTTGACTGTGTCTGCTTGTTGTTACACCACGTATATCAACCTCCCCCAGCAGCAGTGGCATGTTACAGTATTGATTGGGCTGCTCTGAGGTTTAGGGAAAACATCCATCAAATTCAGGGAAAAGGTTGTAGTTTTTGGACGTAATTCGTGTCAAATCTAGGGCAGTGGTTCTATTTATAGCCTCTGATCATTTTACATTTTAGTCATTTAGCAGACGCTCTTATCCAGAGCGACTTACAGGAGCAATTAGGGTTAAGTGCCTTGCTCAAGGGCACATCGACAGATTTTTCACCTAGTCGGCTCGGGGATTAGAACCAGCGACCTTTCGGTTACTGGCACAACGGTCTTAACCACTAAGCTACCTACCGCCATGGATTTTGAAGGTAGATGCATGCTCCTGCATTAAAAGGAAATATATGAGGAAGTATTGTATTGAAAACGTACTAAGTGTAACTCTATCATGAAGGGAAAAACATTTACAAGAGATATTAGACAATGAGTGAATAATTTACAGAATCCATTTACTATTGTGATCTTAGTTAGTAGTGATGTATAGAGACTGTATGTTGATTCCACTCCTGGTTAGACTAAGAAGAAGCAGGAAATAAAACACTGAATGCTAATAAACCTTTGATAGGAATATTTATCCTACATTTTCATAAATAACTAGAACAACTTCATCATTCATGCTTACTGGATGCAAATAAGCAATGGGGGAAATTAAGCTATCCACCGTGGCAACAGGACCCCATCAAAGGATGCAACCAAAATGGCACCCTATTCCCTGTATAGTGCACTTATTTTGACCATGGCCCATGGGGCAAACAAAGCCTCCACCATTAGCCATCATCACAGTCATTTCACTTTAGGTTGCTCTCTGTAGCCCACTGTAATCACAGCAATGAGAATGCAGTCCTAATGACCCCAGCCCGCTGTGTTCCTCAAAATGCACATCTGAGCCTTATAGCTTACTCTTAATAATGTCCACCAGTCCTGCGCCATCCAGCCAACCCATTAATTACAATAGCAGCCGCCTATTTATACCTGAAGTCTTTATCCTCCCTGGGGGTGGACCCAGTCCCATTCATCATTCACCCTTTTTTGGGGTAGGATAACTGTTCTGCACTGTTCTGTGTGAGAGATCCCAGTCTCTTTAGATAACTGCACAGCCATCAATTATCCAGAGCAGAGAGATATGTATAGGTCCTTGGGATTAAAAAACAACAAATGGAGAGGAGAAAACAGCAGGCTGAGGAGGGTATATCACCGTTAAGAAGATGGACTCGTGACCTTTGCAGCGAAGTACAGCTACTTTGTTGATTGGCAAAGGGAATACGCTATGGGCCCTGGTTAAAAGTAGTGCACTATATAGGGAATCAAGTGCCATTTGGGACACACTCTGACTTTGTTGCTGCAAGGTAACAAAGAAAGCATATAATGAGAGTGGGAAGTAACAGGGGATACATTTGGAGCATGTAGGGGGCAAGTAGAAGAACTAATATAAAATTGTCAAAATTCTCTCGAAAATACTGCCGTCCTTCATTTTTCCCCCTTCATCACTTTGCTTGCTTTCCATCTTTCAGACATTCAAATTAGTATTTTCTGCAGAATCTACAGTACATTGTTTACATGTGGGAACAAAGGAAGTGTCAGTCATATCTTTCCTCAAATTCTTTCTGCAGTAAACAAAGCTCATTTAGACTGACACTCACTGTCATAAAATTTGAGACGTAAAGTTTTTATATATTTAGTTATCACCTCTGAAAAGGTAGCGGCTGTGGAAAAGATTTTCATTTTTGGAAATCTGTAAAATACTGTTTTTTGTTGTTGTAATCAGACAGCAGTAGAGCAGCACTGATGGACATAATTCATTATCATCAAGTCAAGGAGACATCATAAGGAAGCTAGAGCCCTTCCAAATGGCAGCACAGCAGTTATTTAATAGACCTCGAACATAAATGTCTGTTACACTGATAATCTTTTTGTTGTTTGATGAGATGTGAAGTTTAATTAATTAAGCTTATCATGCATGTTAGAGTGGCACACCATGGGTTAAGTCTAATCATTAAAAGGGTTAGTTAAATAAATGTAACGAAATGGCAAACTTTATCATAGCTCATTTAGATATCTGGAATTTCAGCTGTGAAGAGAACATTCATTCTTAAACCAATTTGCATGGAATAAAATGTAGTATATCAGGAGAGAGAGAGAGAGAAGTGTGGCATTTATTTTTCAGGTACAGTATGCAAATAACCCAAACGGCTCAGGATGCTAAACTCATGCTGCATTTCATCTGAAGCAAAGGCCAACTAATATCTTCATCCTCTTTATGGTATAGCTTTAGTGTCCAATAGGAAAATAACCATATTTTGCTTCATATAAAAGCAGGACATTGAACTGCATTCAGAGCACACATGCAGTCTTAATCAGAACGAATAGAGTTAGAAATCTGTTGAGATTCAGAATCTGTTAGATCAAAAAGAGAAAGATCAAAGCGTTCTGAATTCCGTGTAGTTATCTGTTCCTACAAAACCTTCCCTTCGGGGCTTTCTATCCCCCTCTGCCTTATCCCCCCCTGTACAGAAGAAAACTAAATATTTTCTCAATACACACTTCCAAGCGGGCGAGACCATGAAAAACAAACCAAACAAACACAACAGCGCCCCCCCACCCGTTTCTCAACCTGGTGATATAAATGTTAAGCTGTAGATTAGACAGAGCAGGTTTTCACTCTTCCCTTGTACTTGATTGATGAATTAAGGTCACTAATTAGTAAGGAACTCTCCTCACCTGGTTGTCTAGGGGTAAAAACAGCAGACACTAGGCCCTCCATGGAATGAGTTTGACAGCCCTGCTATAGAGTTTTTAATCTATTATGCGTAAACCATACAGTGCTGCATCCAGGGTCAGATGATACATTTACTGGAATCATATACCGTAATGGATCCTTAAGTGTGCAGCAGCTAGCCTCTCCATTAGATGTTGTTACGAATACAGGTATCCTGTGTGTGTTTTGTGTTTTTCCTCTCCTTCTGCCCTAATCACAGGTGTCCTTTGTGTTCCTGATTGGTGGTCGTTGGGGGTGTCCCACCTGTCCGACATCCGTTTGTCTGCTGATTGCTGAGGTGGACCAATCAGTGGACATTCCTCTGTATTGCACCACCTGTTTCTGGTTTTTCACTTACACCTCCCATTGTTTTAAAAGCCAGTCAGTTGTGTTTGTTGGAAGAGACTATTTTCGTATGTGAGCATGGATACTGTGGTGTCCTGTTTTTTGTGTACTCACTCACTCATTTGCTGGTTACTCTGTTTGGTAACTATGTTGTGTGTTTCTGGGAAAAGAGGGATTTAGCAAGTTGCCCTTGGGCCTACATTACCCGTAGAAAGAACATTGTCTAAAAACATTAGTTAGACCTGAGCAGACCACCCACTGTAATTTTTGTATGGTTAGCAGTAGCTTAGCGGTTCTTGAGGCAGGCAAGATCAGTTTAGTTTTTTTTAAACATTATTGTTTCATTCCTTGGGTCCTGCTCAGCCCTTTTTCCCAAACCTTTACCGTGTGTTCAAAATAAACATATTGTGTTTGACGGTAACTTATGGTTGTCGGTGTATTTTTTGTTCTCACTGTTTTCCATGTCACGATTCTAATTTGCATGAATTATGTTACGGGTCTCTTTTCCCTCTCCCCTAGACTTTTAAATCCACGGGGTTCGTAACATAACATGAGGGCTCATCTGGGATCTATCTCATTGATACCCATGCTACTCATTCAAATTGGTTAGTGTCTGGTTCAGTGTTGAGCTTGGCAGCTGTGACTAACTGGTTTTGTGTTCAGTATTCGTCGGCTCGTGTTGCTAGTTTAAGATGGCTACTTTTGAGTTGGATGCCTTTTTGGAAAACCCTACGTGGGAGGTTTTTGATAATTGCCCTAGAGTGGATCTACAGGCTTTGGCTGACCACTTTTCTGTACCCATATCAAGGGTTTTAGTGAAAGCAGAAGTTAGGAAAGCAGTGTTAGAGATATTATTGAACGAGCGAGTGCTTGAGTTACCGCCGCCTGAGCCTGCTGCTCCTGTAGGGGATGTGGCTGCTGCTCCTGTAAGCCCATCGGTGTCTGAGGACGAGGCTAAGGCTCCAGCCACATTGCCCCGTTTTGACCCACTCTCCCCACTGTCCGACAGTGATGCCAGGATGGATGTCCGCTCGACACGGCTCCAAATGGAGGCGGAAGAGCGGGCACAAATCAGGCAAGACAAGCTGGAGACGCGTAAGCTAGAGGCAGAACAGGAGACGCGCAGGCTTGATCAAGAACTGGAGACACGTAGACTTGATCAGGAACTGGAAATGCGTAAACTGGAACTGGAGGCAGAAACAGCGAGGTTAGTCTCTGCTCATACTATGCCTGCTAGTGAACCGTCCTCAACAGTTGTGTCATCTGCTACTTTTGATATTAGTAGACAGATCACCTTGGTACCTGTGTTTAGGGAGTCAGAGGTTGATTCCTATTTCAGTGTTTTTGAGCGTATAGCAGTAGCATTGAAATGGCCCAAAGAGGTATGGTGCCTATTACTTCAGTGTAAATTAACAGGTAAAGCCCAAGAGGTTCTGTCAGCGCTACCTCTTGAAGACAGCTTGAATTATGACATGGTCAAAGCTACTGTTCTTCGCGCCTATGAGCTGGTTCCTGAGGCATATCGACAGAGATTTAGGTCTGATAAAAAGTATTCTACTCAGACTTATGTGGAGTTTGCTAGAGACAAAGGAAATCTGTTTGACAAATGGCACAGTGCTAGTAAGGTAACTGATTTTAACTCTCTACGGGAGTTAATCTTGTTAGAAGAGTTTAAAATTGCTTACCCGAACGCATTGTAGTTTATCTGAATGAACAGAAAGTATCCTCACTGTCGGAAGCGTCTGTATTGGCAGACGAGTTTGTGTTGACGCATAAGAGCGTCTTTTCGGCTCGTACGGAGAGCAGGGCCGCAGAGTTGCTAACTCTTAGCCCTAGTCGACCAGCAGTACATCCAGCACGCCCAAAAGATGTGTGTCATTGTTTCTATTGTCATAAGGTGGGACATATGGTTAATGATTGCTTTCTGCTAAAACGCAAACAGGGGATGCCTCAGCACGCCCGGCCGCCAACGGGTGTTGGGCTGATTCGTACGGTTGTAAGGCCGGAATCAAAACAGAGGCCTCATAGTGAATGTGGTTTGAAAGTCCCAGTCCCTGATCACAGTTATGAAACGTTCATTTTTGAGGGGTTTGATTCCATATCAGATGATGAAGCGTCTAAGCGTCCGGTTAGAATCCTCAGAGATACTGGTGTGGCGCAGTCGTTCATACTATCTGATGTGTTGCCCTTGTCCAATAATACATATTGTGGTTCCAGTGTGTTAGTACAAGGAATTGAAATGGGATTCGTCCCAGTGCCATTGCACTTCGTGAACGTACACTCTGCGTTAGTCAGTGGATTGTTCAGAGTTGGAGTACGTCCTATGTTGCCAGTAAATGGTGTGACATTTATAATGGGCAACGATATTGCCGGAGGAAAGGTGATACCCTTATTGGAGGTATTGGATAAAAGTGACCAGATGTGTTCCCCGCTTGTGCTGTCACACGTGCTCATGCACGACAAGTGGGTGACGTGATAGATTTGTTGAACACGATTCTATTCAGAGAGTGTGACCCAGAGGATAGCTTGGGTGCTACCTCTGGTAAGCTGGTGCGGTCTGATCAACAGCCCAGGGAAAGGAAGAAGTATGTGGAACTTGTTGCTGAGGCAATACAGTTACCAGTCACTCGTGAGCAGCTGATCGCTAACGAGAAGGTTGACATTAGCCTGGCTAAATGTTTTTCTAGTGTTGTCTCAGTTGAGGAGCTAAAGAAGAAAAACATGGCATACTTCATTGATGGTAATCTCCTCATGCGTAAATGGACATCCCATGTTGATCCTGGCGGAGATTGGAATGCTGTTTACCAAATAGTGATTCCTACAGCCTTTCGACAAAATGTTTTATCCCTCGCTCATGATCACCAGTGGTCCGGACATCTGGGAGTCACCAAGACTTATGATCGGGTTTTGCGACATTTCTTTTGGCCTGGTTAAAAGCAAGATGTGGCTCAGTTCTGTCGGACTTGCCACACCTGTCAAGTAACTGGGAAACCGAACCAGGTTATTCCCCCCACGCCTCTTTGTCCCATACCTTCCATAGGTGAACCATTCGAACATGTGATGGTTGATTGTGTTGGACCATTACCAAAGACAAAATCTGGTAACCAGTTTCTGTTGACGATTATGTGTGTGGCCACCAGGTACCCAGAGGCCATTCCTCTGCGAAGGATTACTGCACCGGTGGTGAGTAAAGCTTTGATCAAATTCTTCTCAACTTTTGGGTTACCTACGGTGGTACAAACTGATCAGGGTATGAATTTCCTTTCTAAGCTTTTCAAACAAGTGTTAAAATCCTTGTCAGTTACACACCGTGTGTCAAGTGCATATCACACAGAGTCTCAGGGTGCGCTTGAACTTTGGCATCAGACACTGAAGTCTATGCTCCGTAAATATTGCTTGGAATCTGAGAAGGATTGGGATGAGGGAGTTCCTCTAGTTTTGTTTACTGTCCGTGAGACATTACAGGAATCCCTAGGGTTCAGCCCAGCTGAACTGGTGTTTGGACACACCATGAGAGGACATATGAAAGTCCTTAAGGATCAGTTTTTATCACAAGAGTTGTGTGTGAAAGAAAATGTGTTGGACTACGTTAGTTGCTTTCGTGAGCGCCTACATGGTGCCTGTGCTCTAGCAAAGGAAGCGCTGTCTTCCTCACAGAGACGGATGAAACGGCACTATGACAACCAGGCTGTTTCTCGTTCACTGCAGCCAGGTGACCAAGTTATTGTATTGTTGCCTGTGCCAGGAGCGTCATTGTCAGCACGTTTCTCTGGTCCTTATGTAATTGAAAATAAACTAAGTGAAACTGACTACGTGATACAGACTCCTGATAGAAAACGCCAATCTCGTGTGTGCCACGTTAACATGTTGAAGACATAACACACCAGACCCATCACTCAGATACAGTCCAGAGAAACTGGCAAAGTCGGCTGTCTCTATTGCTGCTGCGGCTGTAGTGGGAGGTCATGTTAATGATGTGGACGGAGATGGTTTGGAGTTGCGCAATACTCAGCAGCAGTGTGCTAGATTGCCCAATTCAGAGATGCTGCTGTCTCTCCCGTCAAGCCTGATTCATTTAACGGACGGACAGTCAGATGATATTGTGAGCTATTACACAGCTTTCCATGTCTTTTTAATGATGTGCCTACACACACAAAAGTGTTAGAACATGACATTAATGTTGGAAACGCTGCACCTATCAAGCAACATGCTTATCGTGTCAACGGCTCTAAAAGAAAGATAATGAGGGTTGAGGTCGGTTATTTGCTGGAGAATAACCTGGCTATGCCAAGTTAAAGTCCTTGGAGTTCTCTGTGCATTCTGGTTCCTAAACCTGATGGGACATCCAGGTTATGTACGGACTATCGAAAGGTCAATGCTGTCACAGTGCCCTACTCGTTCCCGTTACCCAGACTGGATGACTGTATTGACACTGTTGGTGCTGCTACTTATGTAACCAAACTAGATCTTCTAAAAGGTTACTGGCAGGTGCCGTTAACCTCACGTGCCTCCGACATCTCTGCCTTTGTGACCCCAGACCACTTCCTACAATATGCTGTCATGGCATTTGGGATGCGGAACGCACCAGCCACTTTCCAACGCCTGGTTAACACAGTATTGGCTGGAGTTCCTAATTGTAGTGCTTACCTTGATGATCTGGTAATTTATTCAACTGAGTGGTCAGATCATATTAACACTCTAAGGGTAGTGTGTGAACGTCTAGCAGCCGCTTCTCTAACCCTGAACTTAGCAAAGTGCGAGTTTGGGAAGGCCACTGTTACTTATCTCGGTAAACAGGTCGGCCATGGTCAGGTGCACCCTGTAGATGCCAAGGTTTCAGCTATAAATGCATTTCCCGCACCTACCACCAGAAGAGAGCTACGCCGCTTTTTAGGGATGGTTGGCTACTACCGTAGTTTCTGTAAAAATGTCTCTGCGGTAGTTGCTCCATTAACGGATTTGCTCAGTCCGGTGAGAAAATGTGTATGGTCTGAAGATTGTCGTACTGCTTTCAACACTGCTAAAGCACTCTTATGTAGTACCCCTGTTCTTGCTGCGCCAGATTTTGAAGGACTGTTTAAACTGGAGGTAGATGCAAGTGCCAGAGGTGCTGGTGCTGTTCTACTGCTCCCAGACCACAGTGGAGTGGACCATCCTGTCTGTTATTTTTCGCGGAAATTTAACAAATGTCAGACAAACTATTCCACCATTGAACAAGAAGCTCTAGCTTTGTTGTTAGCTCTGCAGTACTTTGAAGTTTATGTTGGTTCCAGTGCATTACCAGTGATAGTGTATACTGACCATAACCCCTTAGTTTTTCTCCACTGGATGTACAACCAGAACCAACGCCTTATGCTTTGGGCACTTGTAGTGCAAAATTATAATCAGCCACAAAAAGGGGTCAGATAATGTGTTGGCAGATATGCTTTGTCTCGTGTTTAAAGATCTAGGTTTTTTTTTGTTATCCCGTCAGGATGCTGTTGATCTTTGAATTTTGGGTGTTTTGATGGTACGTGTGTCGCAAACCATTGTGGTTTGCTCTTTTAAGGGTGGGAGTGTTACGAATACAGGTATCCTGTGTGTGTTTTGTGTTTTTCCTCTCCTTCTGCGCTAATCACAGGTGTCCTTTGTGTTCCCGATTGGTGGTCGTTGGGGGTGTCCCACCTGTCCGACATCCGTTTGTCTGCTGATTGCTGAGGTGGACCAATCAGTGGACATTCCTTTGTATTGCACCACCCTTTTCTGGTTTTTCACTTACACCTCCCATTGTTTTAAAAGCCAGTCAGTTGTGTTTGTTGGAAGAGACATTACTGTTTAATTACTTGGGTCCTGCTCAGCCCTTTTTCCCAAACCTTTACCGTGTGTTCAAAATAAACATCTTGTGTTTGACGGTAGCTTATGGTTGTTGGTGTATTTTTTGTTCTCACTGTTTTCCATGTCACAATTCTAATTTGCATGAATTATGTTACGGGTCTCTTTTCCCTCTCCCCTAGACATTTAAAGCCACAGGGTTCGTAACAGATGTAATGACGCTAAAACCCAAGGTTATAAACTTCAGAATGTGCTTTCTCAAAATGATTTCACAGTTAACTCGAATTAATGAAGTACTTCACCAAACCCAGCATTATGCTGTGGTGGTTATAGAGAAATGACATTCAAACTATTCTGCTCGCTCAAAGCCTGCTGGAGCTTGGAGACCGGACAGAAATGTTCAAAATAAGCTGGAGACAGTGCTCGGAGAAAGTGATTAGCCATTTGGGATATTACGGGACATAAGAATACTAATGGTCAATTAACGTTTCTTCAGAGCTACCCAAGTCAAAAACAGCATTAGCAGAGGTGGAAATTGGACAGCTCATTGTGCTAACGATTAACCTTAGACTAAAGAAGCATGTGAAAGCATGTAGCAACCGTATATGATTATGCACACATATTACCATACAACTAACCATGTCTATGAGGAGTTCAACTAAAAGGGCAGAATAATTTACACAGTCATACTTTAGCTTCCACATAAATAGTCAGGAATGTATCACACACATACCATAAAAGAAGAGGGAATCTAGAGTAAAGCTATCCTGAATATAAGCAGCTCTAGCAGTGGTTGTGGTTGGATGTGTGTGCCCAGAGGGCATCAAGCACCATTTTTGTTTCTGAGGGGGCTCACTGATGTCCAAATTCAATATCTTTAAATTAATGATGTGTCCTCTACGTTTTGAGTCTGAAACTGAGGAGGCCGCCTCTAGTTGGGGTAAATGCTATTCCATATATAGTGCAGTACCACGACCAAAAGTTGGTCGAAAGTAGTGCACTCTATAGGAATAGTGTGCCATTCGGAACGCAGGCAGAGTTTTGTGGGTTTTGTGTTATTGGCTGAAGGCTGAAACAACAGTTTCCTTGGAGACGGGAGGATTAAGAGATGCACCCGGCCACTCCAGTAATGTTCATTATGTAGAAATCAATAAGCTCAGGCTTCCTGATGCCCTGGTGGATTTATCTTCCTGACATTTTCTCCCTCTACCTTCCAGATGCTACCCTATTTCCTCTATAGTGCACTACTTTTGAACAGAGCCCTATGGGTGTAGTGCACAAAAGTAGTGCACAATAAATCCATTAATTTCAACTTCAAGTGTGCAGAAGCTAGCATCTCCAACCTCTGTCTGCAGCAGACACACACTGTAGATTGTCCTGTTCTGCAGGAGAATGGAGGTGTTCTATATTCAGTCATTCATGTGTTTACTGTATGTGGCTAATCTCCATTTCTCATCATGTAATACAGGACAAGTTGTTTTTGTAAACAACATAACTAAAAGCCCCTCTGGACGTAGACTAAACATGTTGAAATGTGGATTTGGTGAATGACAGACAAAATGAAAATGCAGAGAGATCAACACATCTAGAGAATGTTCCATTTTGAGAGGCAGCCTACTGTATGGTTTAGTCCCAAATGGCACCCTATTTTCAATATAGTCCAATATAGCCTATGAGTCCTGGTCAAAAATAGTGCCCTAAATGGGGAATAGGGTGCCATTTGGGATGCACACTATGGCTGGGTCTCTCTGGTCTTCTTTCTCTGACTGAGGCTGGGGTCTGGGGGGGTGAGAGGTCTGTCTGTCTATCTGTGGCTCTAGCTGTGTTTGTTGGGTGACAGTGCGATTGATTGCTCTGTCTGGCCTCCCTTAGTTGGGAGTGGAGCATCCTCTGTTCCGAACCATTGGCCACAGATGGCATGGTTAATGACTGAATCTGTTAGTGACAGACAGGGAGGCATGAGGGGAAATAGCAGACACAGCAGAACAGAGTTTTATCAAACCACTATTTTACAGTATCAGAAATCAGCATACGTTATACCAAATAAATCAAAAGGTTACGTAAATAACCAAGGTTTTACGAAGGAAGGAGCGAGACACAGCTCACTCTATGGAGAATAACGCTTCCGTTCCCTAGTAACCTCCTTACTAACATGACCCAGTAGGCTACTGTACTGCTGATTCCCTGCTGTCTCTAAATACCAAAGCAGAGCACTGAGCACTTCCTCAGCTTAAGGAAATCAAGCAGAAACAAAACATGATGCCACTGATTGCAAACCTTGATTGCAGTATACTCTATTTCCTGTACCAGGGTTACAATAGCTCCCTGAAGCTGCAGGCTAAGAAGGTGGTTATGTGACCAACATCATGTCAGTGGAGGAGAAGAAGGTTGAGGAGGAGGGGAGAAGGACAAAGAGGACGGAGCAAGGAGGAGGAGGAAGAGGGGGAGGAGAAGGGGGACAAGGAGGAGGAGAGGGGTTCTGTAATGGTTGATGAGGGCTGCAGAGACATGCCTGCGACCACTACTCTCCCTCCTTCTAGGTCTCCACCACCATATTATTTATGCCACTTGAACGCATACTGCCCATGCCCACCCTTGTTAAACGTCAAAGGATAATCATCATACTAACCAGGCGCAAAGGCCTTATCTTCAAGGGGATGCCCCAATGTGCATATTAAATGCATAATAATTTCTGCCACATAGTGGGATACAAGGTCTGATCATGGAAAACCAGGAATAGTAAATGGATTGTCCAATTTTGAGTAATATGTGGTCCATGTGTACAACACATCCATGCGTAAACTCTACAAAACAACACGTATCAGGGTTAAACACACTTCAAAAGCTTTTAAGGTAGTCAGCTGCTTTCTTTATCATTTTCCTTTTACCATTGTTTTTCTTTGAGACTGGGGCCATTTCAGTAGCACACACAATTTGACCTGACTTCCATACTCTTCTTTTTTTCTGGGGGGGGGGGGGGGGGGGGGTCAATTACGGCCGAGGGCCAGGCAGCATACATGCCGATGGACGATGATGTGCAATGAAAGGGTGACACAGCATGTCTCCCTGCTGCTTTGCCCTCATACCCTGTGTATGTCTCAAATTGCACCCTATTCACAATATAGTGCACTACTTTTGATCAGAGCCCAAAGGGCCCTATAGGGCTCTGGTCAAAAGTGGCACACTATACGTAAGGAATAGGGTGCCATTTGGGGTTATAGTGTCCCCTGTAGCTGGACTCACTGGGAGAAAGGGGGTCACAGTTTATTTGGATAGTCCATCTGTTGATAATCAACTGCTTGCTAAGGTTACGGTTAGGGTTAGGTTTAGAATAAGGGTAAGGGTTAAGGTTAGGGTTATGTTTAATATATAGATAGTTGAAAGGTTACTGATTGTAGATAGTCTGTAGAGCATTTACAGTTGGACTATCCAAATAAAGTGTTATAGAAAGGGGGCTGAATGGAGGATAAGAGGAGGGGAGGAGGAGGAAAGCAGAGTGTTCCCGGAACAGAAAGCCCTGAAGGAAAAACAGGCCTGAGCCTCCAGGGTGACTGACTGGGCCTAGATATGTTTCAGCTTTATGTTCTGCATTTTGTACAACTCTTTGGCTACATATAGAACTGACAAAGAAACATTTGCACACACACACACACACACCCACACACACACACACACACACACACACACACGCACAGACAGAGACTGAGGCAAGCAGTGAGTATTACTGCAGTTTCAGGCCTTGGCATCCTTCTATCTCTTTTCTATTAACACAAACCAAAGTGTATAGCATTGGTCTGACTCTCTATTAACTAACTGCACAATAGTGGGCTATTGCGCAGACTCAAACAAAAGGCATAGAGGGTAGTAAAAGTTTTGGTCAAGGATATCAGAATTAACAGACAAATCAAAAGACGTACCATCAGCATAGATATTCTCAAGATAAAGGATACCCCAAATAAACAAACAAAGTTGATGATTTTTGTATTCACCTCCAGCATCCTCTCTGGATATCCAGGTCTCAGGTGTTGCATAAGGGGGAGTGATCTGATTAAATAAAAGTGTGGTCCTTTTTTCTAATTCTAATTTCCCCCATGGCCAGCTTTCATTATTCTTTCAACTGTCAATTTGTAAACAGATTTGCGTGGCAGGGAGCAGCTGCTGTGGTTTACAATATCCTCCAGACTTTCCTCAACCCTGAGGTGCTGCGGCAGACGATGATCACATCTAATCAAAACACCCACGGTCCACGGACAATAAAATGATAAAATGAGATTCTTCACCAGTCCACACACACGAGCTGCAGCTCCTCTCTCTGTTTTAGCAAGCTAGGTGAGCTGTTATCCCAAAGTCTACCTGTGGTGTTCTGCCTTTCTGCCTGTCTGCTTGTCTGCTTGTCATAGCTAGCACCTTTGTGTGTGAGGACGAGCACATCTGTCGTAACACACATCTGTGTGTTAGACAACTCTGTCACATTTGTCACTGCAAATCTCATCGGATTATCTGATGTGATCACACAGGGAAGTAAAATGCAGCTGCTTAGTCTGTAAAGGAGAATGAGTTAGAGAGAGAGAGAGAGAGACAAAGAGAGAGAGAGGAGCCTACCTTTGGCTGTGATGGCAGGCTGCTCCCCCAGCAGAAGCTTTAGTCTCTTGGCGTGGATTTTGCCTTGGTAATGTGACTGTGCCACCACTGCTGAGGTGAAGGACATGTTACACAGCGTGCAACACTTGTTCTTGTCCACGTCTCCCTCTTCACTGCCCTGCAAGGAACACACACACACACACAGGTTCAGTAAACAAGGCCATCAGCCAACAAATAGTAAAAACAAAGAGTCACTGTGACATCTCTCCCTGCTTGAAGGAAGACGTTTTCCATTTTTCACATGAAGCTTTGGTGCACAGAATCAAAAATGTTGGGGATAAATGGACACCTGAATATAACAACCCCGGAAGAATAAATTGTTCTATGTGACCCCAACATATTAGAGGTAATTTGGTGTCACCTTCCAGCATGACACGATTCATCACTGTGTGGTGTCTATACACTGTGTGTGGTGTACAGTATAAACCAGCACCAGCAAATACTTTCCAAACCCTGTAGGTTAGAGCCGCATGGTGCTCAGGGGCCAGCTGTACATTGAACACATCAGTAAGCTCTATACGCCACAGTTCCAGGGGACAGAAGCAATCTACAATCCTCGTGGCCTTGATCATTTGTTTCCTGGTGGGATGCAAATGGAAGCAATTCAGCAGTTGTATACAAAGTGGGGAGTGATGGGATGAGGACCGCTCCCTGAGACTCCATCTGTGCTGCCTGCCTGCTGCAGAAACACATTATCCTGACAGAGAGAGAGAAAGAGGCGGGGGGGGGGGGGGGGGTGGCGAGCAGAGAGGGGGGGAGAGAGCATGGAGGAAGACAGATACAGTAAGTAAAGACAGAGAGAGAGGTGAAGAAAGAGATAGAGAGAGAGTGAGAACGAGAGAGAGAGAGGAGAGAGAGGAGAGATAGAGAGAGAGAGAGAGAGATATAGAGAGAGGGGAAGAGATAGAGAGGAGAGCGGATCGATAGCTGAGCGAGAGGCTCTTCGATCGCGCTCTCTCTCTCTCATAGAGAGAGAGAGAGAGAGAGAGAGCTAAATGCACCTGGCTGCCAGACTGTGGGAGACAGATGCAGCCATTTCTACCAGGAAACTATCCCACCAGGCAGGGTCATGGACAGACTGATAGCCCGGAAGAAAAACAAATAAAACTTCAGACCAAAACCCTTCCTATTTAAGTTTACTTCAGTTCATTGTGTGGTGACCGTATTATCTTCACAATTCAACAGAAAAACATATTTCACTTTTCTTTGCTGTCTGGAACCAAGCAGTTTACATTTTAGACACAAAAGCATTACTCATATACATTTCCCTCATATAGTACAGAATGTATGCATCATACACTGCACTGAAAGGAATTTTAAAGAGCCATATGATGGATGAGCCCATCTCGTCCTATGATTAAAACACAATGCTTGTTTGCATGTATTCTCCACTACTTCAATCTCCCAGTGGAGATAGTGGGTAGTGATCTAGCTACAGCACACTGTGACACAACGCTGTGCTTTAAGGCACAGTCACGCATTACATGACACCAACATACATCTCAAATTCTCCTCTATACATAGCCAGAACAGATAGGATCCTTGATGCAGTGTGATGTAGGCAGGCTAGGCCTAAGGTCTGCTGGCTTGCAAGAGACAGTATGTGGATGTGTCCCAAATGGTAACCTATTCCTTTTGACCAGGGCTCTGGTCCAAATAAGTGCACCATAAAGGGAATAGGGTGCCATTTGGGACGTAAATATCGTCTGCACCTAGGGTCTGCTGCCTGACTTCTCAGAGACAGAGACTCAGTGTTTCTCCAGAGCTGTTAGTCTGGGCCAGATCCTTCCTTTCTGTCTGGATAATAAGGGCGAGTAAAAATGGCAGACTACTACCACTCCCACAGAGTGAGTGCTGATAGGAGAGCAGCCTGAGCGGAGAGAGAGAGGGAGGCATCCTGGATACTGCACTGTGAGTCACTCAATGATACAAACACAGATACACACCACCCCTGCCTCCTCCCGCCCTTGGCCTGTCCTTCAGTGCTTCTCTCTCTCACACATGCACACACACGTACGTACACACAGACGTGCACACACACAAGCATGCGCGCATGCACACACATACATTTCCATTACCTATCTCACCCCAACATTTAATGCAGAGCAGGCTGTCTCATCATTTCACACCTCATACCATAAAGAATGAAAATAAATGGGAAAATGAGACCAAAATATAACAGGAAATGAGATACACCTTAATAAAATCTGAGCCAATCATCATTTCATGGTTAATTAATACAAGATAAATGAGAGTGGGTAATTGCAGAGAATCTAATTAACGCTGAGGTAACTGCACACTGTCTCTGTGCTGCCAGCCATGTTGCATGGTGTTAATACTTAGCCATTAGGTAGAACCGTCTGTCAAGAGGGAAGCATTACCATCAGCATTTACATATGAAACCAATAGTTATAGGAATGGTTAGGTTTAGCATTTTCATTTACCGGTCAAAAGTTTTAGAACACCTACTCATTCAATGGTTTATCTTAATTTTTTTCACTATTTTCTACATTGTAGAATAATAGTGAAGACATCAAAACGATAAAATAACACATATGGAATCATGTAGTAACCAAAAAAGTGTTAAACAAATAAAAATATATTTTATATTTGACATTCTTCAAATAGCCACCCTTTGCCTTGTTGACAGCTTTGCACACTCTTGGCATTCTCTCAACCAACTTCACCTGGAATGCTTTTCCAACAGTCTTGAAGGAGTTCCCACATCTGCTGAGCACTTGTTGGCTGCTTTTCCTTCACTCTGCGGTCTGACTCATCCCAAACCATCTCAATTTGGTTGAGGTCGGGGGTTTGTGGAGGCCAGGTCATCTGACGGAGCACTCCATCACTCTCCTTCTTGGTAAAATAGCCCTTACACAGCCTGGAGATGTGTTGGGTCATTGTCCTTTTGAAAAACAAATGATAGTCCCACTAAGCCCAAACCAGATGGGATGGTGTATCACCGCAGAATGCTGTGGTAGCCATGCTGGTTAAGTGTGCCTTGAATTCTAAATAAATCACAGACAGTGTCACCAGCAAAGCACCCCCACACCATGAATCCTCCTCCTCAATGCTTTACGGTGGGAAATACACATGCGGAGATCATCCGTTCACCCACATGCGTCTCACAAAGACACGGCGGTTGGAACCAAAAATCCCAAATTTTTGGTCTAATGTCCATTGCTCGTGTTTCTTGGCCCAAGCAAGTCTCTTCTTCTTATTGGTGTCCTTTAGTAGTCGTTTCTTTGCAGCAATTCGACCATGAAGGCCTGATTCACACAGTCTCCTCTGAACAGTTGATTTTGAGATGTGTCTGTTACTAGCATTTATTTGGGCTGCTATTTCTGAGGCTGGTAACTCTAATGAACTTATCTTCTGCAGCAGAGGTAACTCTGGGTCTTCCATTCCTGTGGCGGTTCTCATGAGAGCCAGTTTCATCATAGCGCTTGATGGTTTTTGCGACTGCACTTAAAGAAACTTTCAAAGTTCTTGAAATGTTCCGTATTGACTGACCTTCATGTCTTAAAGTAATGATGGACTGTCGTTTCTCTTTGCTTATTTGAGCTGTTCTTGCCATAATATGGACTTGGTATTTTACCAAATAGGGCTAGTTTCTGTATACCACCCCTACCTTATCACAACACAACTGATTGGCTCAAACGCATTAAGAAGGAAAAAAATTCCACAAATTAAGGCACACCTGTTAATTGAAATGCATTCCAGGTGACTACCTCATGAAGCTGGTTGAGAGAATGCCAAGAGTGTGCAAAGCTGTCATCAAAGCAAAGGGTGGCTATTTGAAGAATCTCAAATACAAAATATATTTTGATTTGTTTAACACTTTTTGGGTTACTACATGATTCCATATGTGTTACTTCATAGTTTTGATGTCTTCACTATTATTCTACAATGTAAACCCTTGAAAAATCATTGAATGAGTAGGTGTTCTAAAACTTTTGACTGGTAGTGTATAACTAATTAACGTAGCAGCACAATAAATCCTTCATATGAAACCATTACATATAGGCGGCGAGAATATGTGTAAAGCTCAGCAATGAACGGTTTTAAATTTCGGTTTCGATTTTCTTTAAACAATAAATGCATTATGTGGGTTCAATGCTGTAACACAGAATAAAACAATTGATGGTAGTGCCTGCCTATTACTATCATTTATTAGGCTCTAACCATCATTTATTCACATTACTTTACTTTGTTTTTGGTTGTATATATTACATATTTGTTTTTAGTATCATATATGATGATGACTTTATTATTTCATTAATAAACCCCAATGATGGTATTGACTGCCCATTACCGCATATCACTTATTAATAAACCATCCTTTATTCACATTACTTTACTTTAAGGAAATATTTCAGTTGTTGTGTATATTTTTTTATTTTATTTGATGACTTATTATTTTATTCCAAGTGACTGACTGATCTACAAATCACCTTTCATCATAAATAATAACTCACTAATTGTAGGTCAGTCAGTCAGTTACAATTTACCCATGATACATTGCGGTTTTAATCCTCCCGAACACGGCCAATGAGAACTGGCAGCTATAGGCACAATGGATTCTAGTCATTGTAGTTAATTACCACGTTTTCTGCGTGTAACTATGATGAGTTGGATAACATGTCCCAGAGAGAAATCTTTCCAGAGAAATGGCACAAACGGGGCGTTGAACGCACAGAAAAAAAACCGAACTAAAAGGAATTCAAGTTATTTAAAAAACGAAAATAAACAGACATTTCGGTTAATGCACAGCACTAGTTGCTGAGAAAAAGAGAGGGAGAGAAAAATAAATAGCGAGATAAAAAAAGAGAGAGATAGGGAGGTAAACAGAAAAGAGAGAGAGAGAAGAGAAGAGAAGGAGGAGAGAGAAAGAGGAGAGAAGAGAGAGGAGAGAGAGAAAAAGAGAGATAGAGAGAGGGGAGAGGACAGGATAGATGGAAGAACAGATAGAAGAAGGAGAATAGGAGTAGAAAAGAAGATAGAAGATATTAGATATTGGGATGACATATAGAGAGATAAGTATGCTCAGAAATACTGCGATAGATTAATTCTCTGGTCTCTATACCCTAGTACTTAGAGATAAAATTCTCACCGGTTACTAGGGATTCAGCGAGAGCTCTATATATTGCTTTGGCTAACTGCAGTTTTTAGTCTACGTTTCTTTCTCTCGTTCCCTCTCTCTCTCTTATCTACTCATACTCGTGTCTATGTTGGCGCCCGTCGTCTCTTGGATCGTTCGATTCTTCTCCCCGCCTCTTCTCTTTGCTTCGTCTGCCTCATCTCGCCGTGCCACCTCTGACCTTGGGAGAGAGAGAGAAAGAGAGACACGTTGCATTTCAGCAGAAAGACTGTGAGGCATAATAAAATAATATTTTTGGTTTTCAGGCAGTAAATTCTCTTTGCTGTCAACGCCATAGCTGCACATTTTCATCTTAGTTTAAGAGAAGCAGCAGCATATCCTTGCCCGTCTGTGTTTGCACTACAAAAGAAGAAGAGATACCGTATTATGCATTACTGCACTGAACCATCATGCTGCTGCAATTTTGTTTATTTTCTCCAGTGCTGCTGCATCAAAGGCACAACAGCAGGTTCCATTGTCCACTGAACCAGACTGTGTCTAGGTTCCCATTGATTTCCAGCAGAGAGTTTGTGTGTGCCTGCGTGTGTGCATGCGTGCTCCTGGAGACTCCGTAGGTCTGCCTGCATAGCTGATATGATGCTGGGGATAATTCTGTAGGCCAAGGAACACTCACTATTCTGGCTGTGTCCCAAATACCACCCGATTCTCTTTATAGAGCACTACACAGCCTATATAGGGCATGGGTACTCAAGTACTATTTGAGAAGGTCCATTCACACAAATTTCCTAGGTGGCACAGGTCCGGATAGATAATGTAATTTATCGGCGTAGTAACAAACCCCCACTTCGCAACCTATGCGACCCCAAACTGTTCACACCCCTCTTGTTGGCGGAGAGAACATTTTGCAGTTTTAAAGCTAATTTCCTGCAATTCTACGCATTCTTCCATGTCTTATGTGTGTTTATATGATACCAGGGGTTGAAGCCCAACCAAGTTCTGGGGTCCGGATCCGGTCTGCGGTCCGCCAGTTGCATATGGAGGATATAGGGAATATGGTGCCATTTCGGACAAAGCCACAGACTATTCTGGCGGATCTACCTCCAGGCACATAGGGGGAAGTAGGACAGCAAGTGCAAGGGTAACCGACAAAAAGTTGGTCCTAATATAGACTGGGTCAATGCATTCTATTGCTGTCAGCTGAGGCTAGGCAGGGAGGCAGGCAGGGAGGCACTGTGGTCCAGACATTGCTCTCTCTCGTCTCTCTCATACCCCAAACAAACTGACAAAACTGTGTGTGAGAGAGAGAGATTACACACACACACACACACACACACACACACACACACACACACACAAAGGACATGAACTGTACTTTATTCCACCCGAATATGTTTAAAGACCTCGATGAGAGGAATAATCAGTGAAATGTTGAGAACAAAGCACATTGTGGCCACAGAATACAGACACTGTTGCCCTATTCTATTTAAATGATATTCACATTTCATTGTTTGGTTACAAAGGACTATGCAAATGTTTTTTACATATGCAAAATGAGAGGTGACATTTATCATCTTGTGCACTTTCATTTGAAACGGGTAACCAGTAGCAGCCTTTCTCACATCGTTCATCTACTGCTTATTGCTTAATGAGGGGATTAATTAATCTTCATCCAGGCTATTCTGAGTGTAAAGCAATTATAAACAGAGCTAGCGTTGTCTTGTCTTCACATCATGGATGGCCCAGTAGACGGAATGACTTTGAGGAGATTGTGATTGGCAGCTCTGCTTTGTGAGATCTGAGCTTGCAAGCTGCTGTAGTGTACTGAGTACTGACTCTGACTGCAAAGTCAGCTAGTTTAATTAATTAGCCATAATACGCTGCATGAGTCTTAATGAAAATTACTTTTGACTGTTTTAGAAAGTTACTCATAGGCTGCATCCCAAATGTCTCCCTATTCCCAATGTAGTGCACTACGTTTGACTAGAGCCCTATTGTGCAATATATTGGGAATAGGGTGCCATTTGGGAAGCATACATCATAACACTTTCATTGGTAACGATGACGGCATTTCAATAGCAATAGCTCCCAAATGGACAATTAAAAATGCATGTGTAATTCATGTGGGAATGAGATTAGCCCTCGCAAATAAACACACCTCACCTCTCATCATCATAAAACTGTATTATATTGAGAAAGCCTTGGCTGGTGATTATTACCATACTGCTTGAGTGTAAGATGAATATTTCATTGATAATGCTTGAGCTGAGTGAAAATATTCACTGTAATGGATTACTGTGGTTTATACAGTAAATAAGTGTATTATCAACAGTTAAATACTGTGAAAGTACCTGCTCTGATAATTTAAATAAACTACAGTAAGTGTACTGCAACCAGCTGCCTATAAGTCCCTGTAAAATTCATAGTAACCCCTTAACAGTGTACTGAGAAGAACACAAATGGATCATACTGATCGATCATGGATCCATTATCATCGTTGTAGTATCTCTTCATCATAAAGAGCACACCAAATAGTAGGGCTACACTAAATGGAATGGAAATGTTTATGTTGGTGCTTTTCTATTCTATACATTTCTATGTTCTATTCATGTTCTGTTCTAATAACCAATTTCTGTGTTCATGCAAGTGACTGATCGGACGAATCCTCACTTATCAGTATCTGCAATTTGGCAGTAAGCCCAGACCTTGTTTTGAGAACGAAAGATATCTCAGTTTCAAGGTCTCAGCTTAGAGAGAAGAAGCCTCGTGAGGTATTGGTCTGTCACATGTTATGAACCAGTATTGGTCGGTCACATTAATTGAACAAAACGGTAATGATGAATTAATTATGCTAAATCATGCAAATATAACTTGTCTGTGTATAGCCGTATATAAGACAACTGCTGGGACTGCCCCAGCAGAGCTCCTGATTGACATGTGTACTGTGGTGCATTGAGTTGGTTGGAACCTCTCCAGCGCACTGACAATAAACGATGATTGATTTAAGATTGACTTTGAGTGTCCCTGTGTAAGAATTTCCACGACAGTGTGTTTTACTCAAACAGTACACGCTAACCATTTCTCATAGTCTCATAATATTTATGTTCTCCAAAAGAAGGATGTAAAAAGTGAACCAAACAACATGAACAATATCAAATTGATTATTCAAATTGCCATGGAACAGAAATGGGAAATGCTGTTTTGCTGTGAAGTTGGCAGAAAGCAGTAGAATGCCCTATTTGTTTCAGACTCATAATAGGTGAGGAGAGAACGCACGGCCTTGGCATGCTGTGAAATTGAGCCATGCAGTCATTTTCAGGCTTCCTTAGCTCTGGCAGAATGTTTGAAATGGTTCATTATCCTAAGATGTACCTCTGGGGTAGCATCTATTACTCTCCACGACTCCATTGGTACTGTGAGGCCCCGCCATTTGTGAATCACAACCTGGCAGTATTGGCTGCTGCCACACCATCATGGCCCAGCCATTCAAATTCAACACCTCCCAAGCAGAAGCTCAATGCACATTCAGAAGAGGAAAGCTGGAAGCATTTCAGAAAATAAGAATGAAAGAATGAGTTTCTTGTTGTTTCACCTTGTAAAGGGGATTACTATAAGCTGATGTCTGGGAGGGACCTCTATAGCCTGTCTCTATAGCCGCTCCTCCCCATCCTGCCTTCTGAAGCCAAGCCACGCCACAGATAAATAGATGTGCAATCTGTTGGAAATTGCTGAAGGAGAAGTTAAGGCAACCAAGCATAAGACTGCAGTCACTTCTTGTTCAAGTCAAGGCAGTTCACTACAGTACACCTATGCCATCTCCAATCAGCAGCCTGTGTTTGGTGGTTCTGCACTCCGCTCCTCCCCTGCCCGCAATCCCACGTAAGGAAGGAAGAACTCACAGGCCCGTGCCATTGGGTCTCTGGAAACAGACCGTCTTCAACTGACACACATGTCTCTGCACCGGTACCCCCCTGTATATAGCCTCCCTACTGTTATTTTATTTTACTTCTGCTCTTTTTTTCTCAATACTTTGTTGTTGTTGTTGTTTTATTTTACCTTTTATTTCAGGAAAAAATGCATTGTTGGTTGAGGGCTGTAAGTAAGCATTTCACGGTAATGTCTACACCTGTTGTATTCGGCGCATGTGGCAAATAGAATTTGATTTGATTTGATTTGACACACACAGCCACTGGCACTGTGTTGGCGTTAAGCATTATTTTGGAGACCTACACATCAAACAAAGTATTTTTTGCCAAAACAAGTAATTAACATGGGCAAAAACTAGGTACAACTAAACCTGAAAGCAATGTATTTCCTTATTTCTTCTCTTAAAGCTGCAATATGTAACTTTTTGGGTGAACTGACCAAATTCACATAGAAATGTGGCAGAGCGATTTCTGCATATTACACCTTTAACAGCTAGCCTCTAGAGACTAGCCTCTAGAGATAATTAAGTACAAATAGGACATAAGAAGAACTTATTCAATGATATCCATCTAAGTTCATGAAAAACAGGCAGATGCTCACAGAGGTGCTTAAAAAAAGCAGTTAAATAAAGCCTTTGTTGACTTGATGGTAATAATACATTCTAAGCTTAACATTTTACAAACAGGGAGACCCAAATTATATAATACAACTTTCCTTCCTCATCATTTTAATAAATGTAGCTAATATATTTATGAACTGCAGTCAAGTTTGTTTATGAGGAGCAAAGTAGTCTGAGATTTGTCTTGCATAGACATGAAGCGGTGCCCCTAAAGATGCCAACCTCTGTACAGACCAGAAGATGCCAACCTGTGTAGACGTCAGCCCTGGGCACTTCCCTGCTCCCCGGTCCCCCTGCTCTGTCTCGCTCTCTTTCAGTCTCTGTCCCTGTCTCTCTCTCTGTCCCTGTTTCTGTCCCTTTCTCAGTCTCTCTCTCTCCATCTCTGTCCCTCTCTCCGTCTCTCTCTTGCTGTCTGCTACTGGGCCTGGGTGTCCTCAACAGTGATTCTCAGCAGGCAGAGGAGCCCCAGACACACAGTTCCACATCTACTTCCTCTGCACAGGTAGAGTGGGGAGGAATGGGCCCCTGCTGCGACTGTGGCACCTGTGTCTCCTCCTATCTGTTTGTAGTAGGATGACTCCTGTCTCCTCACTGGGAGCTTCACACAGGAACAAGCAGCGGGAGGGGGAATGCAAAGTAATAATGTAACATGAAGTCAGAATGACTGTTGTCTCAATGGGGGTCCACAAACAACATGTTGCTATGATCCAATTAGAATAATACTGAGCAACTCCCGATTTAGTTAAGTAGTGTTCTTTTCTCACAAACAAAACCAATATCAATAGGAATAACTCCAGCATGCACAAAAGCCAAAATATGGAAATCTACTGTCGCAAAACTACGCATATCTAGGCAAAACTACACCATAGGTCACATGTCAAACTCATTCCAAGGAGGGCCGAGTGTCTGCAGGTTTTCTCTCCTCCCTTGTACTTGATTACTAATTAGTGACCTTAATTCATCAAAGAACTCCCCTCAATTGAAAGGAAAAACCAAAAACACGCAGACACTAGGCCCTCCCTAGAATGAGTTTGACACCCCTGCCATAGATATGTTCAACCGTCAAAATAAATATTTATTTTGGACACCCTGAACACAAAATAAAAGTTTTATTTACAACCTATGGAAGACGGGTCATAGCGAACATGTTGCCAAAGAGACGTGGGATTTATTTTGATGCACCATTCAATGTCTGTTCCGCCTCCGTGAGAGCAGGTTACCACGGTGAACGTACTGAGCGCGGTCAGATTAGCCAGCCACAGTTGTCAGCTGAGATCAGCTCAGCCAGGTCCAGACCACACTGACTGGCCAGGCACCACCACCACACAGCCTCCTTGCCAACCCCAGGGGGGAGCGAGCTACTATATACTAGAGCGAGAGAGAGAGCGAGAGAGAGCGAGCAGAGAGAGAGAGGAGAGCGCGCGAGACGAGAGAGAGAGCAGAGAGCGAGAGGAGAAGAGAGAGAGCAGCGAGAGCGAGCTCTCTCTCTCTATCTCTATCTCTCTCTCTCTCTTCTCTTCTCTCTCCTCTCTCTTCTCTCTCTCTCTCTCTCTCTCTCTCTCTCCCTCTCTCTCTCCCTCCCACCCCAACATCCCGTCCCCCCTCTCTCCTGTGTATTTTTAGATGTCACCACCTTGAAGCCATGCAACAGCCACTGCCCAGTCACATCAAATCTGTGTTTCACAGCTCTCTACTTTCCCCAATCAAGGAAACATGTCCTTTTGGAATGTACTGGAAAGGTCAGGCTATCAACAATATTAAACAACAAAAAAATACTGAAAACATCACAACTCACACCTGCTGTTACAGTCTATAGAGAATGACAGTGGATAGTGTGAGTGCATAGTGTGAGCATCGAGGGATAACATTATGGTAACCATAGCCTTAGGCAAGGTGATAAAATGCACAGAATGGAGGAACTTTTCTGCCAACTTATAATGAGATCAGCCACTGAGATGTGTTCTGTGTGGAGTAGTAGAGGAGCAGAAGACTGAAAAATGTAATACCTCAGAGAGTTACTGAGCAGATGCACTGGAGAGAGCGAGAGCGAGAGATACTCCTGTACACAGGTTATTTTGGGGTTCTCTGGCTCTCTGGGATACTTCAATCTCTCCCACCGCTGAAACTGGATCCCTCTCCACCCCTGGAACTATATCCTGCTACTGCCCATGAAGGGTTGATTTAAACACCACTAATTAAATAGGAGTGAGGCTCTGAGGAGATATTCAATCAGCCCAAAAGTCTTCCCCAGTCGCTAATTGTATCCTCTTTAAAGGCTTCTTCATTGAGTTACAGGACCAGGAGTTAAGGAGGAGATTTTAACTGTCCTTCGGGGGTCACGTATCTATTAGTAACCAATGCCGCTAGGCTGATCCAGTACAAAACAGATGGATATGGCCATGGCAGTCTTCTCTTTTTCTCTTGTGATTTGCTGCCGTTTATTGTCTGTGACTGGATTGGCTGCAGACTGAGCATGTCAGCAGTTATGGGCTTGCATCCCAAATGGCACCCTATTCGGGCCAACGGGGGTCTTGTCAAAAAGTAGTGCACTAGGGAATATGGTGCCATTCGGGATGCATCCATAGTGTCTGTGGACTCCAGTTGAGGTTGAGTGAAAGGGATTGCTGCTTAGGAGACAATGCAAACTAACAGACTAATGACACTGACTAATTGGAAAGAGTAGGTGGGGTGAACGGACCACATTGCCAACATGCCCTTCTAGTCTCCCACTAATGCTATTCCCATTTTTTAGGCTTTGCATCATCTTCAACCTCGGCTGAATTAGCAGTTTAATAAAAACCATTATGTATGCACTCCCTGAACCAATAAATGAGCATGACTGCTCACACACCGCATCCTTTCTAAGAAAGTAAATGACAACAATGAAGAACTATTTTCAGAAACAATCTTATCATTCCTTCATTCACTCTCTTCATACTCCCATTGCTAAGCAACTGCTCACACTTTATTCCCAGGTAGTAATATACTGTATGAAATATGCATGTATTCCCGTCTCGTTTGCTGTCAAAGCTGCTTTGCTTTTCACCCAAACGATCTCATCTCCACCAAGTGAAAGAGCATTCAATTATTTGTCTCATCTATTTTTGACTGGAGTATGCTGATATCAGTAGGCTGTGACGTTATCAGACATTAGAAAACTCGCTCTGTCGTGGGATGTTCAAGGCTGAGAGAAACTGATTGATGCTCCATCTCCGAGACTCATTATCTGTAGTTTGAGTCATAGGCCAACGCCACTCCATATCTGGTTGCTTAGAGACAATGGATATAGTGATTGTAAATACTCAGGCTTGGTTCCAAATGGCAACCTATTTCCTATAAGGTGCACTTCTTTTGACCAGGGCCCATAGGACTCTGGTGAAAAGTAGTGCACTAAATAAGGAATAGGGTGCCATCCATTTGGGAAACAGCCCCAGACATTTCTCACTGATAAAACACTTACCATCAACGTAAACACATCCCTCCTTCATGGTTCTGATTTCATTCAATTTTTGATTCAAGTGATTATACGATTAACCATCTATTATACATTTCAGACAACACACTACAAACCCAGCCCAAAGCCCAGCTTGAACTAAACACAGACCATCAACCTCTCTTCCCATGAAATTAGCTATGAAAGGCGGACCAGTGCTGTTTTCCGGTCTGGTGTGTTGCTCAGTGATGCTGCTGTATCCAGCACCATGGACACTGAGCATGAGAGCACAGCAGAACACAACATCTGTTGGGAAGTGACCAATTATATAGCTTTCCCTGCTAACACAGAGAGCACAGAGAATACACTTATTCTAGAGGACGGCTGTCACGATCGTCTAACATAGAGGAGGACCAAGGCGCAGCGTTGAACGTGAACATATTTATTTAATAAATGATCACCCGACCAAAACAACAAAACGATGACGTGACAGTCAATGGTCAATAAACAAACCAAACACTAACAAAATCCCACAAACCCGAATGAAAAACAGACAGTTTAAATATGGCTCCCAATCAGAGACAACCCACGACAGCTGACACTCGTTGCCTCTGATTGGGAGTCACTCTGGCCAACATAGAAATAAACACCCATAGAAACAAAACCCATAGATCTACACACCCTGGCTCAACATAACAGTGTCCCCAGAGCCAGGGCGTGACAGTACCCCCCCCTAAAGGCGCGGACTCCGACCGCGTCAACCAAAACCCACAGGGGAGGGACCGGGTGGGCACTCCGCCTAGGCGGCGGATCCGGCTCCGGGCCTGATCCCCGCTCCCTCTCCAACCCCCCAAAGTACCCCTGGTCCGGTCTGGCCCCGCTGGCCGGAGCTGGACTGCACACTGGTGGAGCGGATTGCTCTAGCTCCGGCGTGAAGCATCTGACCGGTGCCGGACCAGCCACCGGTGGAACAGGCACGGGCCGTGCCGGACTGACGACGCACACCACTGGCTTGGTGTGGGGAGCAGGAGCGGGCCGAGCCGGGCTGTCGAAGCGCACCCCTGACTTGGTGCGGGGAACAGGCACGGGCCGTGCCGGACTGACGACGCACACCACTGGCTTGGTGTGGGGAAAAGGAGCGGGCCGAGCCGGGCTGTCGAAGCGCACCCCTGACTTGGTGCGGGGAACAGGCACGGGCCGTGCCGGACTGACGACGCACACCACTGGCTTGATGTGGGGAGCAGGAGCGGGCCGAGCCGGGCTGTCGAAGCGCACCCCTGACTTGGTGCGGGGAGCAGGAACGGGCCGAGCCGGGCTGACGAAGCGCACCACTGACTTGGTGCGGGGAGCAGGAACGGGCCGAGCCGGGCTGTCGAAGCGCACCACTGACTTGGTGCGGGGAGCAGGAACGGGCCGAGCCGGGCTGTCGAAGCGCACCCCTGACTTGGTGCGGGGAGCAGGAATGGGCCGGACTGGGCTGGCGACGCGCACCGTAGACTTGGTGCGAGTGGCAGGAACAGGCCGGACCGTACTGGGAACACACACCACTGGCCCTACGTGGGGATCAGGAACAGGCCGGACCGGACTGGCAACACACGCCAGTACCTCTCGCCGTGCCTCTACATCCTCCCTCCCCCTGGTGACCAGTGACTCCCGTAACCTGGCGGCCTCCTGCTGCCCCGTCGTCCACGGCGTTAGCCCCCCTCTAAAAAATTTCTGGGCGTCTCCCCTACCCGTGGACCAGGTCTCCATGTCCCTCGCCAGCCTTTCGCCCTTCTGCCACAAGGTCAAGCCCTTCTCTTCCTCACTCGGCTTGACCCAGTCGAGGAGGCGAAGGAGATCTGTTAGGGATCTCCCTGGCGATGGCTCCTGGACACGCTGCTTGGTCACATCTTGGTGGGATTTTCTGTCACGATCGTCTAACATAGAGGAGGACCAAGGCGCAGC